TAAATCTTTCGAAACAATTTTTATATTAATTAGTAATATTATTTAAATATTATATATATATATTTTAATGTCATATTTTAAAAAATATATTATTTTTATATTATTTATCATGAAAAAACTTGAATTTATGAAAATCAAATTATAAAATTACTATGCAACATAAAATTTTTAATTAAAAATAATTATTTAAAAAATAAAATAATCTAATCTATAAACATGTTATAAGTAAAAGTAATTTTATAATATTTTTATTGAGTTAGATATATTCGAATATCACAGTAATTATTTGACATAATATATTTTATAATAAATAAACCCCTTTCAAAAAATTTGGACGTAATGTCAACTCTGGTTAATAATCATCATTTTAGACAAGCAAATCCGAGATACGAAGATGTGGTGTAATCACGATAAGTTTTTTCATAGATAATTAATTGTATGAGAAATAACTATGATACAACAAACTACCTCTGGCAAGTTCAGTGACATTATCGCAGTAAATAGTTTCTGTGATGTGGACCGACAATCAATTGCACTTATTATTAGACAAAAAATAGCGAGTGATATTGAAGAGGTAGGTAGTGTAGATTTTAGAATATTATTAAATATTATTATGTAAGTGTTCGATATTTAAATCATGCTTTGCAGAATTTTAATGTCCCTTCCCTATAATAGTATTTCTAGCCACTTTGTAACGCACTTGCATAACTTTTTGGTTAATATGCAACACATAGCTGGGGAGAAGACTGTAAAGAGAACAAGAACTGTTGAGTAATATTTTTAGGAATTTAACTTTCATTTTTGGGAAAGACTTGGTAAGTAAACCCACATCTTGACAATAGCATATTGTTGTGGGAACAATAGGGATGGGAACGCGACATTGAGGCGCGTCGCGTAACAATAGTAACAATGATAGCAGAATGATGTAATAATTAGTCATAACATGTAACTGGGTGGACGCATGTAAATGGGATAGTTTTCCATAGTTTGTGGGTGGTCAGGTTTAGACACAGTTAGAGAAGAATTTAGTTTAAAGCACTCCTGTTTTTTCTCGCGCTTTATTAAACAAATGCTATTCTACTTCGTACAATAAACATTTACACCCCTTGAAGTATAAATCAAGACTACCGCCACTACAGTAAAGTAACCTTTAAGAGAAGAAGCTGAGTTACCTTTTGCACCGTAAAGAGAGACACTTGTAACCTTGAGACGGGCCTAGGGAGAAAGATGCAAATTGTAACCGCTTCAGAGTTAAAGCCTTACCTTTATTTTGTGCCGAAATCCAAGCGTTCGGATTATCGTCACGCGAAGAGTGAGCCGTTTTAGCAACAGACTCGCTGGTGACGACAACAATATACAGTATACTTACTGTATAATCCTATGTTTACATATGAAAGAAAGACCCTTTTGATATATTGTATAATGAAAACATATATAGGAGAAGATATTTCTGTAATCATATACCACTATAAGCTTATGATGTGCCATCAATTCAAAGTAGCCTCCGGTAATAATCAAATAACATGACACACGAATTTTATATTTATATTATTTGACAAATATTACCCAGCCAAAATATATAATGTATCAAAAAATAATAGTGATATTAATATGGCCAATGCAAAAGGAAGTAGTCAACTGTTGGAACCTATAAATGAGGAAGAAAGTTACATTATAAAAATTCCACGCGGATATGCATACGTAATATTATACATTATTATTTTCCTAAACAATGGGAAAAAGCAAAAGGAACATACAACCACAAACTGTAGCATTTACAGGTAAAAGCAAGCATGTTGTATTATTTGTGAAGAAATTATTTATCATCATTGGTAAAAAATAGGTGACAACGATATTCAGCCACCGGTCTAAGAAAGGAAAAAACTTCCAACCACCAGATATTGGTATATTTGAGAAATGGCAAACATTCGATGAAACTCCTTTGCTAAAGGAACAGTTTACTAGTGATTATTGTATCGCAAGTATTGTTTATAGAGAAGGGGATATTGTAACTACTGAAGTTGCTATGTCACGTGGAGAAAAAAATCAAGAAGTGGAAACGAAAGATGTACAAAATTTTTGATCGATATGAAAGAAGATATGGACCTTGACAACAAACACATTAAAATAATTGAGACCAAGAAATTGCCAGTCAAGATTTCCTGTTGATGACTAAAGAAGATCTTATGCAAAATGGCTTAAAAGGAGGACCAACAAAAAGAATTACTTAGTTTGTTAGAGATCTCAAAAGCGAGGAGAAAGGTAATTGGTGGGTAAATAATACAGTTGTCTGTTAATTGCAGTCGAAAATTAGTAAAAAAGAGAATTAACAATTATCACGATATGTATCGTGATTAATATACTTGCTTAAAGGTAGTTACGGAATCCCAGTAATTAAAACTGACGTTTGAAGGAAATCCAATATGAACTACTTAAACAAACATTCAATGGAATCATAAAATTTGTTGCTAGGTAATAGATGTTGTTTTATACCTGTTCCTTTTATCTCACTACTTTTTTTATTTCAGTCAACCGAATATCTTTACAATTGAACCAAATTTTAGTAGTATCGGTAATACTTAGGTAAGTTAACCAGTCTACTGTATATCTTAAAAAACCCCAATGTTCCGAGGAACTGGCAACAAGTCACACGTGAAAACATTTTAGCGAGTTTATTTTATAGTATAACTCTTGGTTAGAAATTTTATATGTATACATATAAATGCATGTCCATAAATTATTTAGATAGGCATAAGTCAACTTAATAAAAAAAATTTTTTAACATAAAAAAATAGTTAACATACTGTGGATTATAATGTTAATACTATATTGAAGTTATATAGGTCGTACGCTAAGTGCTATATACCTTTATTTCTCGCGTCATGCACTATTGAGGTAAGTGATTCTTATGATGATTAAGCGCTAACTCTTGAGGCGATTTTAATTTGGCTGATTACAAATTCCGGTTTCTCTATTAGTCGCACTACAAAGTTACAAATATATTGGATTAACGCTATGAATGTTTACTATTAAGGTTTAAACTTTATTAAACTTTATTTGAATGATTGTGAGAATGCAAAAGGTTCTCTTTTTTCATGATAGTACTAAACTTATATATTTGCCTATTATTTTCAAGTTTCTCGCCCATCTAATTACCCACAAGATTTTAGACCTTCGTTTATCAGCGCATTAAATTACAGTACTGTATTGCGTTATGCATCTGCGCCCACTTTCCCGGTAACATTGGTTACGCGAAATTATCGAGAATTTCCCGATATATAGAAGTTTTAATGTGTAAATATCAAATAGATATAGCTCATTACAGTAGTAATATTTAAATATTATTGGAATAACGTTTAATAGATATTTCTATGTATAGATAACATTTTTCAAGATAGGTTCCAGTTCCTTATACTAAACTCGTCACACCAGTTGAGTATCGTCGATACTGTATTGTCTTTTTTAGCTCACGGTCACGTATGGGAAAGGTTTTAAAAAATTATCAGAAATAACTATTAATAATACTTTTAGAAATAAGCATGTTGATTTATTTAAAACCTTCAAATAATTAATATCATAGGAAATATCGGCCCGTATCGCAATATTTTGAGTGAAAGTTTCGGATACAGAATCATATAGCAGAAGTATTATGAAATAGATTTTTTAATGACGAGTCACAATTGCCATCGGATGATGTGAAGGGAGAACTCTTCTGTGGTTTCAGCAAATATATTTTTTAACAAGTTCATTAAATTAGATTTTATTTATTAGTAACAAGAAAAATTACTTGTAATGTAGAACCATTTTTATTTATCAGTGTGCATAATAGATATCATTTTTTCAGATTCGACAAGGTGGAGAAAATTTATTTTTTTTTTAGTTGATAATATTCGCATCGTATCTCTTTTGCCTCTGATATGGATCAAATCTTCGTCTTGACTTACAGTAAATCCATGTCATTATTGGCATTTTTATTACTTTCCAGTTTATAATATAGAATATCAGAAACATCATTCGATTACACATTATCGCGATCATCTTCGCCACTGGAATCTTCCAGCGCATTGATTTCTTCTTTAGGAGCAGTCATGGATGGTGTAAGGTAATCATTATCAAAGTCATTACTAGATAACAAACTTGTTATGTGTTAGAGAAAAAATTGACTGTTGCGAGTGGCTTGAAATAGTCACTTCAGTGATCCAATTAATAAAGTTACTCAAAGTTAACGACACCGAATCTTTCCTGTCAATGGTGACAACCTTCTGGCTGCTGCACTTCATCTCTTAGGCCGTTGATCGGTGATGTCGGCACATTATTAACCAAAATTTCCCTTTATAATCATCAAAGGCATTCCATTGCGTTGTTTGATCTATATCAATGGCAAGTTCTCGATTGAGTCATCGACCTCGGAAACCTCGTTAATTGAAGAATCATTATAGGTTAGCGCATGGAGATAAGCAAGCAAGAATAATGAATTATACATTCAACACCCTAGATATTTGATATCAAATTCAAAATATTACGAATTTTTCCTCTTTTAATAATAGGCAAATCAGAGAGCAATTCTTTAGAAAAGTTCTAATCCCAATTCTAGTAAATATCAATCTAACGTAAACCCTCGTTTGATCGGGGCTGACGGTAATATGATTATATCCTAATTCACATTTTTTTATAAGAATTATGTTTAGTAATAGAGATCTTACACTTTCATCAAAATAGAGGATTCGATATACCTAAAGACGGAAATCGTCAATAAACATAAATTCCTTTGTAACGTAATTATGTTCTTCTTTCCAATGCATAGTTAATGTCTGCAGTGAGTAAGTCACTCTTTCAATTAAAAAAAACGATCGATCGAGGTTGTTTTACATTGCAAAAGTACTGAATTACGTATTAATTTAATCATGTGATCATCATATCACCAGTGAGCATATTTAAGGGAGTTTATCGTATACATAATATCAATTATAAATGTGTATTGTAAAGGGTAGAAAAATCACATGTGGCTCGAGTAATTATAATATAATTAGGGCTTTAAGGGATCTTGGGAATTTTTGGAAAATTCGACAAAGTATAAAATTGTAGAGATACTGTACATGTGCAAGGAAACTTCCAACATCTAATAAAGTCCCACCTTTGATAATATTTTATTAATCAATGTTTTGTATTTATTTTTACCGTCAAAAGCATTCGATCCCTTCAAAGCTATATTTAGCGAGAAATTGGTACAAACAAGTTCTTTTCGACTTAGCCACCGAAGCGACGCGCATCATTTAAGGTTTTTAATTCGTAAAAAACTTAAATTTCTAGAATATCTATTTGGTTAAAGTTTAACCTGAGTTACAATTGTATACCCTCATGCGTTTGACACGGCTTTGTGTTAAATTTTAATGCTATGATGGTAATCTCGCTCGCAGTATTTTTAATTATACTGTACAATGGCATCGTTGATAATTTTCCCGTCCATTCCTCGCTTTCAAATATAGAGCGAATTCTTATTAACCAAATTGATTATTATTTTTTTTAGAATACAGTATGAGGGGGAACCGTTTTTTTAATTGTTATCATTCACGAGAAAAAAATCCATTTTTTGGGAAATAGAGCACATGTAAAGGCATGTAGGAATGTTGTATCACGTTGAGGCGTTACATAATGTTATATATTTAAAAACTTTATTTTTTGATAAGTATAGTGTCGTTACCTGTTTGGGAAATATTATAGAATTACGGTCTACGGTATAAACATATCAAGTATTAAAAGCTCATTTGTGCTGTGCTGTGTTTCTCCGCTGTGAACTATTCAACATAATCAGCGCCTTTGTCGTGACTGTCTTACAGCTAAGACCATATTCGGCTGTGTGAATTTTTAATAAAAGGTTTGAATTATATGAATAATCCTTTTCAGAGGCTTTTTTTGAGTTGTAAATATAAAATCGAATTAAGCTTCCCATTTTCTTAACGTAGAATCCGCTTTATACATGTTTGTGTAATGATTAATTCATTAAATAAATTCATCAGATAGTTATTAAACACAAAGGTTATGAAAAGACAGGTGTCGAACAAATGTGGCCAAAAAAATAGTTGCCGCGAGAATGAACCTTGTTTCTTATCATCCAATGGACCAAGTTGTGATAAGCACGACTCGAAATGGGCGCTAAGTCCTGAATCATTTCCTCCAATCATCTATTTTGGCAATAAACTGGCTAACCAGGAGAACAACACGTGTGAGAGTTTTAATTATTCCAAATGGGAAGATGCAGACATAGATTGGCTACTTGAATATTTTTATAAAAATTGGTTGCCTCCATCTGCCAGATACAACTTGCCTGTCGGTAGTTTCGTTCAACCACTAAATTATCTGGGAAGTTGCTCCGGAAGTAAGTTAGAAAATTCTGGGTTACCGAGTTTATATTGTTCACCTGATCAAAATAAATGCGTCAAAAAATTGGAGGCATCGAGTACTTGTGATTCATCAAATCAGTGTAAAAGCACAAGGTGTGGAATTATGAATGCAACTTCATATCTGGATGGTAAGAGTAAGCCAAACAACGTTTTGTTATGTATGGATAGTGACGCAGGTGCACTTTTGACTAACAATGGAACAAGAAGATCATTTTTACCTAATGATTTAGGGACCACTAGTGGTACTAGTGGTAACAATAGCTCTTATGGTACGGGTCAAATGATTGTAGTGGTAGTAGCGATAGTGATCATTTTTGTAGCAATGTCACTCTGTTGTTACGCTAGAAAAATATTTAACAAACGAGGAAATAATGTGATGTCCATCGATCCTCTCTCTGTTGAGGGGAACAGTTTAAGTGGACGCGTACGTAGGGGCGCGTCAATCTTGCTAAGTCGAAACGAATCATTGAATAGAAGCAATAGCGTACGCACATTGCCACCATATTCCGCGGTCGCCGAAGAAGTAACTTATCAACCAGGAATCGTGTCATCTATAGTTAATTATTTCTTTCCGCCTGGAGAGTTGCCACCTCCTTATGAATCAGTCCAATCGGTAGAGAATATTAGGCACATGTCAAACGATGATGGAAATTTACAACAAAATCCCACATTACAATCTTCCGCAGAGAATACTGGCGGAGAAACTGTTCCTGAAAGTGATGTAGTCGAGTCGGTCGTGAAATTGAACGTGAGAGATGATGTGACGTTTGAAGAGGTAAATATAATGACACCGTCAAGTTCAACATTGCCTCCGGGTGCTAGTGGAGGTGTTGCAACAGAACTGCACACCTTACCCGAGATACAAAATGTTGATGAAGATGATATTTTTGTTACACGTGAGAGGCGAGAATCTGAAATTGGACTGACAGAGGCGCATGATGATGACCAGGATCAGTTAGATGAGCATGTATAGGAGATAAAGAATATGGCATCTAAAAAATTATATTAATGACCAAGGAATGAATTGCTATGAGTCTTAGACCAGTAGGAAAAAGTGAGTAAATTTTGAATGTATACGTATTTATGTTATATTCATAATCGCAATATTATTTACACTTTTAATCATCTGAAAAGAAAATTTCGCGCATATACTGTGTATATGTTATATACAGTAGATGGGTCTTATGCTGTAAATAAATGACGAAAAACGGAGGGCACGTAAATATTCTATTTTTGGTGCAAAGGTGAAGTTATTTCAAATGGGAGTCATAGATATTTGTAGTTTTAATAATTAGCGTTTATTTAAATAAGCATTTAGATATTTGGTTCTTTAAATAACTGTAGCATACAATCTGGATATCTTTATACTGTATAACAAGGACGCATCAGATAACGCGATAATTTACGAAATTTTTGAATAATTTCCTATGGATGGATGTTTAGAGATCAATAACAGTTTTGTGTATATCTATATATCTTTTAATAAAAAGCATGTTGGTTGATGCAAAGCACTAGATATCGTGAAATCCGATGCATTATAATCACGAGTAATTTAACAATTCATGAAACAAATGGTCGCGGGTTTAGAAATTGTAAAAACGTTTTAATATTTTGTTTGATAATTCCGAATGTTTATTAAAAATAGATTGCTAAAATAAATTTAATTGGAATTTTTAATATTGTATAAATTTGTTCAAATATACAGTATGTCTGGTTTAAGTTCTAATCAGTTTACAAATTTGTTTTATGGTAAATGATATAGCATAATATACTGTATATAAATATTATAAATCAAGTTATTATTATTATTATTATTAATTTAATTTAAACTTAATTAAAAGAAAAACTTTTAAGCAAAAATAAAAAATTGGTAAGGCATTATTATAATACAAAAAATATATACATGTATATATATTATTATTTACTTTTTTAAAAAATATTAAATTGAATATTTCTTATAATCTTTATTAATAGAATAAGAATTTGTATATAATTAATATTAAGATATTAAAATATATTGCTATACATATCAGCCTACTATCATATTACATATATATATTTCTAATAAAAAAATCTTTAAACAAAAAAGTCCTATTTAATTTTGAAAGACTAATGTCTTTTTAATAATTTATTTTATCTTAAAAAAGTATAAATAGGTTTCAAAAAAAAGTTTAAGTATTGTAATTAGTTTATAAGTTTTGTTAACATTAAAAAGATCTTTGTTATTGTTATTATTTTTCTATATTTTATATTTTGCAAAATATCAAGGAATTTTTTTTTGATTATTTTTGTTTTTTGAAATTCAAATAGATAAATAGATAAGTTCAAGAATTTTATTTTAAGTTAGATTAAAATTTTTAAAATTTATTAGATTTGTTTGAAATTGTTGAATATAATTTTATATTAAAGTATACTTGTTACAAAATTAATTAAATATATTATAAATTTAATTGTCAATTATATTTTATTGAAATTAAAGTTTTTATTATTTTGATATTTTTTAGTAAATAGTATTTAAATATCAATTAAAATATGTAAATAAAACTTGTTTATAAAGTTAAAAATAATAAATAATTTCTGGAAAAAAATTGCAATATGAATATATATTATTTTTATATATGTTTAATAATATAATATAAATTATGATTTAATTGAATATATATTAGAAAAATTTTAAGATAGAAGTTATAAATTTTGAATTAATATTTTTTTAAAAAAAATCACAATCAAACATTAAATATAAAACTTTATTAAATACAAGTTTCAATATTTATTATATTGTTGATATTAAAACGGCAAGTTTGTCGCTTGGGGCAGGTCAAACTCGTGTAACGTCAGGAGTAGGTTGTTCTCATTTCCTCTACTCGAGGCATGGATTTGACTTAGCCAATCTTGAACCTATAATTAACCTTCTTCTTTCCTTTGTCACCCTTTGTCGATTGTTCAAGTCACTATCCCTTTTAGTGACTACCAGAACAATCCTCTCGTGGTGACATTACTCTAGAAGAGGGGTTAATTGCCAACTTCTTTTTTAGGCGCATCTATCACACCATCACTTATAATAACTGTAATTAACACTCACACAACCGTTTCGTACTTTTACAAGAATAGTAATTACATCTATTACTTTTTTGTATTAAGTTTCTGTTGTGTTAAGTCCCTCTTGTGTTAAGTCCCTCCTGTGTTAAGTCTCTCTCATGTTAAGTCCCTCTCATGTTCTTTTTTATCCTCGCTCTCTTATTTATATCACTATGACTATCTGCTATAGGACTATAACTTTATGACTCATAA